ACTAATGGCGCCTGTGGTGCAGGGTCAGAGCGTCAGTCCCAGACCGCCTGCAGGTGGGCAGGGCCGTGGCCCGCGGAGAGGTTCGGTGGGCGCGAGTGGCGGCCCGCGGGCCGGGGAGGGAGCCGCCTCCTGCCACCTTCTTCCTCCCTAGAAGGGCGCAGGCGTGGTACCTGGGGCGTGAACAGTCACCCGAGCACCGGCCCAGCTGGGAACGGGGAGCACAGGCTGGGGGTGGCGCGGGGCTCCTGCCACCCCCTGCTTACTCTTGCACGAGCCGACTTGGGGGTCCGCATCATGACCCCCCACGGGGGCGCTGGAGGGTTCATGGTGTCCGCGGAGTCTACTTCAGGTGTCTGACAGATCTGCACCAGGGCAACCCCAGAAAGCAGGAATTCCCCGGACGATGTGGCCAGCAGACTCAGTCAGCAGAAGGGGAGAAAAAACAAGGGAAACGAGGTGGAGAAACGGGGCAGGCCACGGGGACCCTCGCCTTAGGGCTCGCTGGCCGGCCCAGCCCCTGTACCTGGAAGAGGTTTCCCTGGAACTGTCCTGCTCTTCGCGCCAGGAATGACCGTACTCCCACGACAGTGCTCCCACTGACGGTGCTCCGGCCTCTCGTGTGGACACTCACGGGGCCACCCGGGGCAGTAACACAGGCACTGACCAGAGAGTTGCACGGGAGGCGCCCTCCCCCCCTCCCCCACCCGGAGGCACCAGGGTCTTTCCAGAAGCAAAACTGACCCTCAGGATCAGAGTCGAGTCCCCCTACTGACCTGCCAGACAGACAGGGCCTGGGCCTGGTAAGGCTGGCAGCAGGCAGGGCGGGAGGAGGGTCGCCGGAGCAGAAGCGCCAGGAAGGGGGGAGGGGCAGAGAGAAGGACCCCGCATCCAGGGACCCTGGGACCCAGCAGGTCGGCGAGGGCACGCCACCTGGTGGCCGGTCGCAGCCTGGCGCCCAGCGGGGCCTCGGGAACCAGACCGGGGCTCTGGCCGCTCACACCACAGAAAGGAAGGAAGAGTGGGTGGCGTCCGGCTGCGGGGTGTGCCCAGCCTCTACCTGCAGACAAACAAAATCTCGGCCCACCCGAGAAGCCTCTCTGAGGGCTCCGGGCCAGGGCTGGCCAGCTCGGCTTCCGCGCAGGGGGGCTGTCCTGTCCATGAGCCCCTTCCTTTGCGGGAACGCCCTGAGCGAGGGCACCCCGGGAGGCAGGGGCACCTCACACCCTGAGTGCGGAGCTCTGCAGCCAGACCCCACGCCAGGGGGGGCCTGGGCCCCGACTGCCTCAAAAGGGCCCTCCGTCCTCAGGGGCCCGTTTCCCCTCTGCTACGTGGAGAACGGCAGGTCTGAACTGTTGGGGTCACCGGGCCTTTGAGAACTTATGGGGGACGCATGTGAGTGACCCCAGGCACTGACCAGAGAGCTGCAACCGGAGGCGCCGCCCTCCCCTCCCCCCACCCGGGAGCACGAGGGTCTTTCCAGAAGCAAAGCTGACCCTCAGGATCAGAGTCGAGTCCCCCAACTGACCGACAGGCCAGGCAGAGCCCTGGATGTCAACCTGGACGCCCCCGCCACCCTCTGGGGCGGGCCGTCGCCAGCCCTGTCTGAAGAGGAGGAAACTGAGGCACAGAGAGGCTGAATAACTTAGCCGTGACCCCAGCCACAAATGGCTCGAGCCCAGGCTTCTCAGACCGGGGGCTCCAGTCCGAGCCTTCGGCTCCCCGGAGAAGCCGGTACCCCCACCCCACGCAGAGGCGCAGGGCCGGGCACGCGAGGGAGCTGGCGCCCGAGGCCGCAGGGCGCAGGGGCTGTCCTGTCCATGAGCCCCACCTGAGCCGTGGCCGCGCCTGAGGTCGGCAGCAGGCCCCCAGGTCGGGGATCCTCACCGCACCCCTCCCTCAACCTCTCGTCTTACTCATGATTCTGCTTTCAGTTTTGCTTCTCCGCAGTGACGTGCCAGTTTCCCTTTTCGCCCGGCGGTGATGATCTTAGACCTGTCACAGCTGCTCACACTTACACAGCTTTGTGCACCGGCGGCCGGGGGCACCCGGCGCCCTCGCCGCCCACGCCCGGCCCCGCACCGTCACCCCGGGAGAAGCCGCCGAGCCCGCGAGCCCCGCTCCTGCAGCCGCCGTCAGCATGGCCCAGACCCTGGAGGAAGCAGGTACTTTCTTCCCCCCTGGGGCCAACGGGGTTCTGGGTGAGGCCCGCACGGCCTGGGTGGCCCAGATAACCGCAGACTGGCAGAGGGGGGGTGCCCCGGCCCCAGCCGGCGTGCCGCCCGCTCCATCCTGAGGCCGCGGGCCGGCTGGTAGAGGCTGTGCCCGCCGCGCTCGCCTCGGGCGGTGTGGGCAGCCCCGCTGCCTCGGCTGCCTCTGTCTCCCGACGCCTGACTGCCGGGGGCCAGGAGGCCCCGCGTGCCGGCCTGCTAGGGACGGCTCTCTGGGGCCCACTCTGGATGGCTTGGGGTTCAGATCCGGTGCGGTGCCATTAGCGCTCCGTGACCTTTGAAGTGGCTGCTATTAGCCCCGTTTCACAGGTGGGGAAACTGAGGCACACGCAGTCACACAGCTAGTCGGAGGCAGAGCTGGGAGTCCGAGGAGGAAAGCAGCCACGAGCAGCTGGCGTGGGGTGCCCCAGGGCGCAGCCCGGGACCTGTCGTCCCCGGGGCAGAGGGCCCGAATCCAGGTGCTGGGCCTGCAAAGACAGCTGCGCTCCCGAGGCCTTGTTTTCTTATCACGCCTGCCCGGTGCCCTCTGTCTGCTCTGTGGGGAGCCGGCCTCCCCCACTTCCTCTGTGGTCACCAGAATGGAGAATGGGCCCAGGCGGGGGTGGGGGTGGGGCGCCATTCGGGCCGACTTTTCAGGAATGAAGGTGTCACAGGCGGCGGGCGGGGCCTGGCGGGGCCTGGCGTGGGCAGGCGGGCTCTGACGGGGAGCGGGCGAGGCCCCCACAACCTACTGGCAGCCGCCTGGGCCTGGGCCCCGCCACTGTCCTGGGGTGCTCTCGGCAGCCCCTCCCCCCTGCAGAGCAGCTGGCTTGGGCTGGTGGGGCCCGGCCCAGGCTGGGGGACCAGAGGCCATTCAGAGGAACCCTCTG